GGTCGATCGGGGACCTTTGTCGCATTTGGGGTTCTTCTTTTATTTTGGTTCCGTAGTCGGACCTTGATTGCATCTGTTTTATGTAATGCTTTATTCATGTAATTGTGTGAAGTGGTGATTGTAAGCCAACTATGTATCTTTTCCCTTATGTATTACATGGGTTGTGTGAAGATTACCTCACTTGCGACATTGCTTTCAATGCGGTTATGCCTCTAAGTCGTGCTTCGACACGTGGGAGATATAGCCGCATCGAGGGCGTTACACGGGTGTGCTTTCACGAGAGTCATGGCCGTGCCTCTCGGAAACGGAAAAAAACACGTTCTTTTTTCCTTTCGCGAGAGTCACGGTTTTACTTCTGCGAGAGGCACGGTTGTGCTTTAACGAGAGTCACGGCCGTGCCTCTTGCAAACGGGAAAAAACACATTTTCTGTTTTTTTCCTTTAGCGAGAGTCATGGTTTTGCTTCCACGAGAGTCACGGTCGTGCCTCTCAGAAACGAAAAAAAAGCATATTTTCTATTTATTTTTCTTTCGCGAGAGTCATGTTCGTGCCTCCTCGGAAACGAAAGAAACGTGTTTTCTCTTTTCTTTTCTTCGCGACAGTCGTGGTTTTGCTTCCGCGAGAGGCGCGGTTGCTACTTCGTGAGAGGCACGGGCGTGCCTCTTTCGAAAAGTGAAAATTCCGTGCTCCCGTTTGTTTTTTTGTCTGATTTTTTTCGTGAAAAAAAGTTCGTCAAAACCTATCAATAGGGTATCTAGTTTTAAAAATCTCAACACGAGGAATTCAATGACGAAAACGGTTCGAGATTTGGACGCACGGTTTGAGAGATAAAACATTTTGAATAAATGGATCCACGAAAAAAGGAAAAACTCCCATGTTGCGACAAGTGACGCGCTGCATGTGCACCACTTGTCGCAGCCTGAGGAGTTGGAGTGATCTTTGCAACGAGTATTCCTCAACTAATGATTTCGCCTATTCAGTGTTGTTAGCTTCGCTGAACCTAACCAACGCAACTGCAACGCCTAGTGGCCGGCCCATTATTACTTTTGTTTCTCCCTTTAAAGCCCCCCAAAAAGGTAATATGCACACCATGATTCGAACAATGATGGTCCAGTTTAATGAATGGACCACTGACCAAGTCGTCCATCACACCAGATGTACTACTATCATTTTTGTTCATTCTTAAAATGAAAACCATAAAAAACGTTGTTGTTTTCCTTTTTTCCATTTCCTTTTTTGTTTTTTATTCATGATGGTTCACCCGTTCAACCGTTGACTTTTGAATAAAAACGAAAAACTAAAACTAAAAAATTGATACAATTTGAAAAAGATCATGAATACAAAAATGTTCATGGATTTTTAAAAATTGGTTCACAAACTTCAAAAAAAAGTTCACACATTTGAAGAAAAGTTCATCGATTTTGAAAAAAGTTCATTGATTTTGGGAAAAAAAAGTTCATAAATTCAGAAAAAAAACACAAACTTGAAAAATGTTTAACAAATTTGTAAAAATAGTTCAACATTTTTTTAAAAAAAAGCTAATAAGTTTTTTAAAAAATATGGAATTAAAAAAAGTTAATCAATTTTTTTTTAAAATGACAAAAAATCATTGATTTTTAAAAAAATGTTTACGAATTTCAGTAAAAGTTTACGGATTGGGGAAAAAGGTTCGTAGTTTTGAAAAAAAAAATCATGAATTTGAAAAGAATCCGCGCATTTAAGAAAAAGGAGAAAGAAAGAAAAAAAAGGAAAACATCAAACAAAACCTCTGGAGAAAAAACCACTAACTGAAGAAACAAATAAAAGAAATAAAAAAGCATGTATTTCACAACGGGTGGGATAACCTAGTGGTTTGTGCACTATCCTTCGAATGCAGAGGTTACAAATTCAAAAGCAAAGTTCATATCAGTAAAATCCGTGCTCTTGCATTCCTTGACTCATTTTCTCTCAAGTCTCATGCAAAAAGAGCAAATTAAATGACTGGAAGCTAGCTCCTAGATTCTTCCTCTCCTCTTCGGTTCTCCTCCACTGGCTTCATCATCTCCCTATAAGAGGACAACGAACTTCATGGCTGCTCGAAACACCTATGTGTTGAGTGATATTTTATTATTCTTCCATCCAATTGTTTCTTGAAGGCCCGATTCTCCATATTTTCTGTGTTTCTTTGATAAAATTGTATATATATTTTGAGGGAAACAACAGGACTCTGCTGCGTATTTTTATTGATTTTTTAAAACAAAGTACAAAGAATAATGTACATAAAATATTAGAAAAGGAACTAAACAACAAACAAACAAACAAAACTAGGATAACAAAGAAAATACAGGAGACAACAAATACCACAGCAGCATTACAAGTTATCTAAAGGATTTGATCCATGTTTCAAATCCACTGTATTCCTTCCTCTTGACTCTATAGGTGATTTGAGTTCTTCTTTTAGCTTCTTTCTGCATCTGTATATGCTTGGCGGTATATGTTGGAAAATGTAATCAGTCCTAGTTGTCTAGATTGCCCAACAGGTTAGGATGATAATCTCCATGCATATGGCATGCTCAACAGTTGCTTGAGGTTGCAAATTTCTTCCTGAATGCCTTTATTTGTCGGTAGCCAGTTGGTGCAAATGTAGTTCCAACACAATTGTGCAAATTGACAATGAAATAAAAGGTGATCCCTCATCTCAACTGCTTGTAGGTCGCACATGACACAAGAGTAATCATGCAAAAAGAAATGTTTTCTCTGCAAAAGGGCCCTGTTGTTAACCCTGAATTAATTAATAGCCAAAAGAATATCTTGTGCTTAAGTTGGCAAGAAGTTTTTGATAGCCACTTGATGGTTGGTATGACCTCTGGGGCAATGGTCAAAGTGGTATAAGCTGTGGCCTGCAGATTAGGTGTTCTAAGTGTGTAAATTAAAAATTCCAAGTCCTCCTTTATCCTTTGGCCTGCATATCATGTCCCAAGCAGCAAGAGGTGGGTTCTTTTCTTCCAAATCTTTGCCTCTCCAAAAAAGATGCCTTCTGTACTTATCAATTTGCTCAATGATGCCTTTATAAAGAAGGAGACAGCTGATGTGAAAGGTGGGCAAGGATGAGAGTAAATGGACAACCTTTTTTGTATTCTCTCAATAATGTACATGAAGAATTCCATTTTTGGTTTAGTGAAGCCCAGTGGTGTGCCTAAGTAGATGAAAGGGAAGGTTCCAATAGCTCATCCCAACAGAGTAGACAGATGTTGCACTACTTCCTGAAAGACATTGATTGGGAGCAAGTTGGATTTGTGATAATTAGGTGGACTAGTCTCTGCAGCTGTTGAATTTTTGCTGGGCAAGCAGGCATAAAAATCAAGGTGTCATCTGCAATTGCAGTATGGGAAAGTCAAGACAAGAGGTGGAGTTGAATGGAGGTGTAATGACCCCTCTGTTCTTTGCATCATTCAGAATAGATTGCAAGAAGTCAGCTGCCAGAATAGATTGCAAGAAGTCAGTAAAGGTGATAATGGGTCTCCCTATCTAAGACCCCTTCTGCATTTAAACTGTGACCCAGGGATGCCATTCAAAAGAACAGATGAGGTGGTTGTCTCCAGAATCTGCTTAATCCAAGAACACCATTTCCTTCTAAAGTCATTTTGCTAAGATCATGCCATGTTCTATCTTATCAAAAGCCTTTTCGAAGTCTAGTTTAAGAACCACAGTTGGTTGTTTACTTTTATGACATTGGAACAGGTACTCATAAGCCCATCCTATGTAGTCTTGTATGGTCTTGGTTTTTAAAAACCCATATTGATTGATATGAACTAGTTCCAATATAACTGTTTAAGTCTGTTAGCAAGGAGCTTGGTAATAAGCTTGATCGTGCAGCTTAAAAGGGAAATAGGTCTATAATCATTGACAGTGTTTGCCCCTGCCTTTTTAGGGATAAGATTGATGAAGGAGTTGTTGATACTCTGCAAACAAAGGTCTCCCTTTTGAAATTGCTCGCATAGGTCATAGAAGTCGTGTTGTATAATATGCCAACATTTTCTGATGAAATGAACATTAAACCTATCAGGCCCAAGTGCCTTGTTTGTTGGTACATCCTTGGTCACAGAATCAGTTTCCTCTTTGGTAAATGGAACCTCAAGAAAGGAGGGATCCTGATGAGTGGGAAGTAGGTGAAGTAGGTGAGCAGGTATGTCAAAGTTTTCAGATTGGCCAAGCCTTTCCTTAAAAGCTTCATGCAAGAGCTTTGCTTTCCCATCATGGTCAGAAGCTTCCACACCATCTTGGAGTTAACAGTTGTATACACGAGGCCTAAATTATGATTTTGCACCAACCCCCAAGTCTTTTGTTGCGTGGTTTTGCTTCCACTAACCCTCCAATTCACCTACTACATTCACCCGCAAAAAAAATCACCTACTACATTAGCGCAATATGTTAATTCAAACCTTGACGCTCACAATGCACACATTTCAACCATGCTGGGGGCCCATCAAAGCTGGTGAGACGTCCTCTTAGCCTCTGCTGAGCAAAACGTGCCTGCCAACTTTGATTAAACCCAGCTTGCAACCGTGGAAGCTAACTAATGGCTTCAATTTAATCCTTCTCCACGCTCCTGTGTGAATCCCCTCCTATAAATTCAAGTTAGGCACGCCAAAAATTCGCAATGATATGATAGATAATGACGCGCTCGCCGCTCGCACACTCTTCCGAAATATAACGAATAGTTTTTGAAAACTTTCGTTAATTTCCAGACGGAGTCCCCACACAAGGCCTACCCCGTCCGTGAAAGCTGGTTACTTTTCTCCCTGCATGATTAGACAAAGCAATTTCGAAGCTTCTAAACAGGACTACAGGGGCCTTCGTTGACCGTTAGCAAACCTGCGTTCGTTTTCACCGGAATTCCACCATGTACGTTCGCACCACGGCTCCTCATTCATGGAAGTTCACTAGTACTATATACTCCTATCTAACTTGCAGTCGTTTCTCGTTGCATATGTGCTGATCGAGAACTCTAGAAGACCCGCCATGGCTGCTGCGGCGTTGCTCCTGGTGGCCGCGCTCGTCGCCCTTGGTTCCGGCCATGGCGGCGAGGCCTTCGACCCCAACCCTCTCCAGGACTTCTGCGTCGCCGACTCCACGTCCAAAGGTAAGTAACACTGGCCGTACGTGCGCATCCTTCTGGGTTCTGCTCCCTCTGTTCTAATTTACACGGCGCCACACATTTCGATGTTCAACTTTGACTGTTAATTTGACGAATAAAACTCAACTTATTTTTGCAAAGAGAAATTACATCAAAAGTTCCCCATTGTGTGTGTGTTTTTTTAAGAAAACAATGGAATAGTTTTTATGCTACACTGCTTACTCCCTCTGTTTGAAATTAACTGAATTATTAGTTTTGTCCTAAGTTAACTTGTTTAAGTTTGATAAAGTTTATGGAAAAATACACCAACATCTATAACACAAAAGTAGTCTCATTAGATTGATCATAAACTATGTTTTTGTGCTTTATATATTTGATGCTGCAGACTTTAACACAAAGTTAGACAAGTTTGCTCAAATTTAGAGAAATTAGGCTTAAGTAAATTTAGAGCTTCAACTAATTTAGAGTGGGAGTGTGTATTATTGTTGTAACTGATGATCAATACTCGCTAAATCATGAAAAGCGAGGACGCCATGTGAATGGGGGCCGAGGGACTGCTCCATGATGTGGCCATATAAGCTCTTTATATGTATATGTACTATGCAGTGCGCGTGAATGGGTTATCATGCAAGGACCCGGCGGCCGTGGTGTCCGACGACTTCTTCTTCGCCGGTGCCGACAAGCTGCGCGACACGACGAGCGAGCGCTACGGGTACTCAGCGCTGACCGTGCAGATCCCAGGCCTTAACACGCAGGGCCAGCGGTACGCCCGCGTCGACCTTGCACCGGGGGCCATCTTCCCGCCGCACTACCACCCCAGGGCGGCCGAGACGGCCCTGGTGCTGGAAGGCTCCGTCTACTTCGGGTTCGTCTCCTCCTACCCGGACAACAAGCTCTTCGCCAAGGTGCTCAGCAAGGGCGACGTGTTCGCCGTGCCGCAGGGGCTCATGCACTTCCTCTACAACAACGGCACCGCCCCTGCTGCGCTCTACGCCAGCCTCAGCAGCCAGAACCCCGGGCTGGTGCTCCTTGCCGACGCGCTCTTCGCCGGGGCTCTCCCCGATGATCTCCTGGCTAAGACGCTCCTCACGGATAAGCACACCGTGGACAGCATCCGGGCAAACTTTCGGCCGTCTTGAATGCTTGTTCCAATCTCTAGTAATTTATCGCATTTTCTCAGGCATGGTAATCTCTATGTGTTCATTTGTTATAAACATTAGCAATGGTATTCGAAATAAAAATATTGCGAGTGATATTCCATCACGCATACGACCTTTTCGGGTGCAAGAGCATCATAACCGGGACTAATGAGGCGAACGCAAGTATCATAACAGTATCATGAAGTGAAACTTGAGGGGGAAAAGATGATGTGGCGTTGGAATTGAGGATGTTAGAGAATTTTTCTGACATCATACCCACAAATGAAAGACAAATTACAAATTGAGTGACATGTCATTCGCAAAAAATAAAATTAAGTGAAATATGATACTAGTGCATGATATTATGCAATGCAAATGTAGTAAGTTCTAGCACATGGTACTACGCATTGTTAGTGGCCTAAGGCCTTAAGATTTGCACACCCATAGTTGGACAAAACTAATTTTAAAATTTGTTTAGACTCTAAATGAAGCAATCCCTCCCAATCGGTGTACAAGTGTGGGCTTTTGAGGAGGAGCAAGCGAAGGAGGAGGATCCCTGTTATTATGGGGTCACGTTTGGACCGCTACCCTGTCTGTTTGGTCACTTCCGATTTTTTGGATGCCCAGCTCGCCCGCACTCCCTCCTCTGATTCCACGCCAAATTGTTGGTGAAACCAAGGCAGGCGATTTGGTCACCAACTTTTTGGTCGGCCCGCGATTTGGCAGGGTGAACATGGGTAGCAACCAAATAGCCCCTATGTGTCACCAGCGGCGCAGGAGGATCCTTCCCTCGATGAGTATCCGGATTGGAATCCCAAAACACACTCCATTGTGTGGGATATCTGGCATGTGCCGATCCTGTATGAGACGGAAGAGAGACCTCGCTCACCAAGCTCATATCGGCGCCCACATGTTGCTGATTGGACGACGACGATGGGGACCGCGATGCGATGCCATCTCTACGAGGTCACCGTTTGGTACCTCGCCTAGTTTTAGTTAGCTAGGATTAGTTTATACTATTTATGTCCAACTTGTTTAATTTCATCCTTTGGTTGTAATACATCAAACTTTGTTTAAATTATGTCTGTTTCGCTTCAATTTTCATCTGTGCCCGCGAGCGGTCGTTTGAAATGAGCTGGACATTTGGTTGGATGGTTGACGCCTCACCGCTTTCCACAAAACATGTCCGCGGACATTTGGTGATCCGCGTTGCCCTTAATTAGCAGGAGCAATAGGGTCGGCCTCTTCCCTCCATTCTTCAAGTCCAATTCTTGATACCCCCATACCCCCGGATCAAGCTCCTCCCCCACCAGGACTAGGAGTCTAGGACTGTATATGATCAAAATTAAAACGAGAAGTGTCCATATTCCTGAACTTCCAAGCAAGGTTTTGACCCATCTCTCTGGTTTCCACGGGGCTGTATGTAACTGAAACTGGTAGAAACTGGATTGGTTTGCCGATCAACCGATTCTCATCGATTCCATACAGCAATACAGAGAGAGCATGACATCACTTTATTTTGTTGAGTTCCTAAATCAGCAGTGGCAAAAGAAAAGGAAAAAAAAAGGGAAGGTCATTCCCGCCTTCGGCATGACCTGTTTTCTATTGACGAAAAAAATTTGCAAGCAACTCACATCTTCAATGGCAAAATATTATACGGCTGACCTTTGTGCAAAACATGCGACCACACTTTCAGTTTCAGATGTCTGGTTGGACTCTTGCCCATCCTTTTTAGTTAGCAGCTTCTTAGCTGAATGTAACCGGATCTCAATTATGCAATAAAGCTCCTTAATTTCGCGTCAAAAAAAAACTACATCTGAAATCATAATAAAAGGAAAAAAAAGAAGGAAAAAAAGGTATTGACCACACTTTGCGCAAAATATTATACGGCTGACCTTTGCGCAAAACATGCGACCACACTTTCAGTTTCAGATGTCTGGTTGGACTCTTGCCCATCCTTTTTAGTTAGCAGCTTCTTAGCTGAATGTAACCGGATCTCAATTATGCAATAAAGCTCCTTAATTTCGCGTCAAAAATATTATACGGCTGACCTTTGCGCAAAACATGCGACCACACTTTCAATTTCAGATGTCTGATTGGACTCTTGCCCATCCTTTTTAGTTAGCAGCTTCTTAGCTGAATGTAACCGGATCTCAATTATGCAATAAAGCTCCTTAATTTCGCGTCAAAAAAAAACTACATCTGAAATCATAATAAAAGGAAAAAAAGAAGGAAAAAAAGGTATTGACCAGAGTGGGAAAAAACTACATCTGAAATCATAATAAAAGGAAAAAAAGAAGGAAAAAAAGGTATTGACCACACTTTGCGCAAAATATTATACGGCTGACCTTTGCGCAAAACATGCGACCACACTTTCAGTTTCAGATGTCTGGTTGGACTCTTGCCCATCCTTTTTAGTTAGCAGCTTCTTAGCTGAATGTAACCGGATCTCAATTATGCAATAAAGCTCCTTAATTTCGCGTCAAAAATATTATACGGCTGACCTTTGCGCAAAACATGCGACCACACTTTCAGTTTCAGATGTCTGGTTGGACTCTTGCCCATCCTTTTTAGTTAGCAGCTTCTTAGCTGAATGTAAAGGAAAAAAAGAAGGAAAAAAAGGTATTGACCAGAGTGGGATTTGAACCCACGCCCTTTCGGACCAGAGCCTTAATCTGGCGCCTTAGACCAACTCGGCCATCTGATCTTCGTTATATCCTTATCTCGAGCTCTCTATTAGTGCCCAATAGTGTGCCAACTGTCTCTCTTGATATGATTAACACTCAGAGCGTGAGCTTGGCACAGGCTGGAGATATTTGCAAAATCAGATATAATTTCCCAGCGGCCTGGATAGGAGTGAACGTCTCCAACAGCTATGACTCAGGCAGGCAAGTATCTGCTTGTGAATAGGAGTGTGGTGCTGCCTGGTTGAGCTGAGCAGCAGAAGCAAGCTTGAGAGCTTAAAACAGAGCTCTGGCTTCTGCATCAAGATATGCCCGAGCTTCGGGATATATGTCCGAACCTTGCTTCGCCTTTCTCCTTGGAGCGATTGGAGGTGGACTCATCGACGACTTTGTGTAAGGAACACACTTCATCTCTATCATGTGAGCAACTAAAGACGGCGAAGTCGATTTTGTCGATGGTTCCTGCGGTGGTTCCTCGGGTCGATGATGTTGATGCTGCCGGTTGGTTGGTGCCTGCTCCTATGAGCCCCTTGGTTGACGACAACGACACCAAGAAATTCAATGAGTTTTACGATTTTCTTGACAAATGGGTGGCTCAACAGCCGACATCTGGCGAGACAAGTGTGCCTGCAAAGAAGACGCCAAGTAAGGAGAAACCAAAGAAGAAAAACATGAAGTGTTGCGCCATCCGAAAGGTGTCTGTGGTTTCATGATGGAGGGTGGTCAGTTTTCGTTGGTGTGCTTGTTAGGAGTTTCATTGTGTTCTTCAAGTGTCGAGGGTTGCGGTTGTTGTTTGTTTAGAGGGCCGCTTGAGTAGTTTTGGTGTTTCCTACTTTGTGAGTAGTCCGCATTTGAGAGTCTGTATCGTTTTTTGCCTGGTTTTCCGTAAATTAACCGGGCAATTCTCTTCTTCTTAATTAATCGATGAGGCAAATTTTTTTGCCTCCGTTTTGAAAAAAAAAAGAATCAACAGCTTCGCAGCATGCATTGATCATAACATTTGTTATGTGATCTTCTTTCTCATTTGCATATGTATACACCAATTCATCATACGGAATGCTGGCGAGTTTTTGCGTGTTCCAGGCAGCGTTAGTGAAGGCCTTGAAACCTGTTGGTTGGAGATCAGTTCTGATGGTGCTCCCAGGAAGGAAGGAGCGCTTGTCAAAGTGTTGGCAGATGCACCTGTTGTCCCTCGTTAGCTGAGCACGGCTTGATCTTCAGCCATTTGGTCCTTGTACCTCCGATCCATAATAAGTTGTTTTAGTTCGAACTGAAACCACGAGCTTCCCTGGTTTCTTCCTATACAAGGGCCTGTCATTCTTAGCTTTCCATAAACACCTAGACAAGTCATTAAGCTGCACATAGAAAAATACATGTATAGTTTCTCTAATTCTTTTCCAAACTTAGGAGCGCCAGTCTCCAATTTCATTGTCACTGAACTGATAATAATACACCATGCTATGAAATCGTGGTTGATGGCTATGAAGGTAACGCATCGGCCCTAGGAACTGAGCATTCCGCAAGCTGATCATTCCATGAGATGAAAACTAGAACGAGTAGGTCCAACGTGAAACATCAGCCATTACACCAGTGTCGAATCAGATTTATCCTTACACATTACATCAGAACAACATCAGGTTATGTCTTCTTAGGTGCTCCGCCAATATATACATTCAGCAACGACTACCACAGGAACAAAAAAAGAGGCAGTTGACCATCAGCTTTCGGCACGAAATCCTTCTATCTAGCTTATTCCCCTCGCTACTATGTGTGTTGTACAACAATGCTTGCCTACTACCCTAACACTACAGGGCAACTCATTCACTCTACAATGCCGGTCACACGCTCCTGCTTAACCGACAACCACCCCCGCGTCTTCATGACGGTTGTTGCCCCTGAACCTCAGCCCGACGTCGTCATTGTCCTGATGATCTAGAGGGATCAGCGCAAGGTCGTCCTCTAATGAACCTGGAGTCTCATCAGGTTCGTTCGACCGACGGGAGTCCTCGCCAAAGTTGTGCAGCCTCCGGCCAATGAGATAGCGGTCATCCCTGATGGAGTTGTGGAGGTTGGTGAACCAGACGTGGAATCTCTTGCCGCAGAAGAAGAGCGTGCTGAATATCAGGCACCCGAGCCAGGCAAAACGGTAGACTGCCGAGTTCACGATCAGTGGGTAGCCCAGCACCGGGAACACACCCCTTGCAAGGACGTATGGGACACATAGAGCAGTAAGGAGCTTCGTGATGATGGGGGTAATGATTTCGTGCAGGACCCATAGACCTTTCAAACGGGAGAAGCCATCCTCTCTTACTCTCG